TGTCAGTAAGTAGTTGAGTAGTATGATTGAAGATGATATCCTCTGTACCAAGACACCAAGGTGTTACTATACCAGACGAGTACCATATTATTAATGGTGTACAATACTGAAAAGTTGATTCATCAACTTGCCAGTTAATGAGTGCAGTGTCCGTATTGATGAGTGCAGATTTAAAGCATCTTCTCTGGGAGTCGTCCTCCTGGATTATTAACAGTGTACCTTTCCGATTTATTAAGTGGTTGTGGGGAATCACAGCGTAATACATTGCTTAGGTTGTCCCTTCTGCTGGCATATTTGTGTTCTGAAATTTGCTGTGCAGGCCTCTGGATGACTCACCTCCGTAGATTTTGTCACATTTGTTGTATGGGATAGTGCATACCCCTTCAACAATGTATTTATGGTAGTGGTGTTGATATCCTTGATGGTAGTATAGGCAGCGGGAACTAAGTCGAGTTCGCTGTTGAAGATCGAGATGTATTTGGCAGACGAGTTTTTGGAGCGGACTACACACGTCTTCGATCTTACCGAATGACGTTAATGACGCTTCGTCTGCAATCCCCGATAACCAAGCTGTGTGTGTGTGTGTGTGTGTGTGTGTGTGTGTGTGTGTGTGTGTGTGTGTGTGTGTGTGTGTGTGTGTACTCACCTATTTGTGATTGCAGGGGTCGAGTCCTAGCTCCTGGCCCCGCCTCTTCACCGGTTGCTGCTGGGTCCTCTCTCTCCCTGCTCCATGAGCTTTATCAAACCTCGTCTTAAAACTATGTATGGTTCCCGCCTCCACTACGTCACGTTCTAGGCTATTCCACAGCCTGACAACTCTTTGACTGAAGAAATATTACCTAACGTCCCTTTGACTCATCTGAGTCTTCAACTTCCAATTGTGACCTCTTGTTTCTGTGTCCCCTCCCTGGAACATCCTGTCTTTGTCCACCTTGTCTATTCCGCGAAATATTTTATATGTCGTTATCATGTCTCCCCTGACCCTCCTGTCCTCCAGTGTCGTCAGGCCGATTTCCCTTTAACCTTTCTTCATAGGGCATTCCTCTTAGCTCTGGAACTAACCTTGTCGCAAACCTTTGCACTTTCTCTAATTTCTTGACGTGCTTGATCAAGTGCGGGTTCCAAACAGGTGCTGCATACTCCAGTATGGGCCTGACGTACACAATGTACAGTGTCTTGAACGATTCCTTACTAAGGTATCGGAACGCTGTTCTCAGGTTTGCCAGGCGCTCATATGCTGCAGCAGTTATCTGGTTGATGTGTGCTTCCGGAGACATGCTCGCTGTTATACTCACCCCAAGATCTTTCTCCTTGAGCGTGGTTTGCAGTCTTTGGCCACCTAGCCTATACTTCGTCTGCGGTCTTCTGTGCCCTTCCCCTATCTTCATGACTTTGCATTTGGCGGGGTTAAATTCGAGAAGCCAGTTACTGGACCAGGTGTCCAGTCTGTCCAGGTCTCTTTGAAGTCCTGCCTGATCCTCATCTGATTTAATTCTCCTCATTAACTTCACATCGTCTGCGAACAGGGACACTTCTGAGTCTAACCCTTCCATCATGTCGTTCACATATACCAAAAATAGCACTGGTCCTAGGACCGACCCCTGTAGGACCCCGCTCGTCACAGGTGCCCACTGTGTGTGTGTGTACTCACCTAGTTGTACTCACCTAGTTGAGGTTGCGGGGGTCGAGTCCGAGCTCCTGGCCCCGCCTCTTCACTGATCGCTACTAGGTCACTCTCCCTGAGCCGTGAGCTTTATCATACCTCTGCTTAAAGCTATGTATGGATCCTGCCTCCACTACATCGCTTCCCAAACTATTCCACTTACTGACTACTCTGTGGCTGAAGAAATACTTCCTAATATCCCTGTGATTCATCTGTGTCTTCAGCTTCCAACTGTGTCCCCTTGTTACTGTGTCCAATCTCTGGAACATCCTGTCTTTGTCCACCTTGTCAATTCCTCTCAGTATTTTGTATGTCGTTATCATGTCCCCCTATCTCTCCTGTCCTCCAGTGTCGTCAGGTTGATTTCCCTTAACCTCTCCTCGTAGGACATACCTCTTAGCTCTGGGACTAGTCTTGTTGCAAACCTTTGCACTTTCTCTAGTTTCTTCACGTGCTTGGCTAGGTGTGGGTTCCAAACTGGTGCCGCATACTCCAATATGGGCCTAACGTACACGGTGTACAGGGTCCTGAATGATTCCTTATTAAGATGTCGGAATGCTGTTCTGAGGTTTGCCAGGCGCCCATATGCTGCAGCAGTTATTTGGTTGATGTGCGCTTCAGGAGATGTGCCTGGTGTTATACTCACCCCAAGATCTTTTTCCTTGAGTGAGGTTTGTAGTCTCTGGCCCCCTAGACTGTACTCCGTCTGCGGTCTTCTTTGCCCTTCCCCAATCTTCATGACTTTGCATTTGGTGGGATTGAACTCCAGGAGCCAATTACTGGACCAGGTCTGCAGCCTGTCCAGATCCCTTTGTAGTTCTGCCTGGTCTTCGATCGAGTGAATTCTTCTCATCAACTTCACGTCATCTGCAAACAGGGACACCTCAGAGTGTGTGTGTGTGTGTGTGTGTGTGTGTGTGTGTGTGTGTGTGTGTGTGGGTGTGGGTGTGTGTGTGTGTGTGTGTGTGTGTGTGTGTGCGTGTGTGTGTGTGTTTTGTATATTTTCTTATTGCTAAAAGCACTGAGTGACCTGCATGGTCAAAGTGCTTTGTAAATATCACAACTCATAGTTCTGATGGTTATGATCAAATGATTAAGTGTCAAAGTTAACACTAAGTGTAATTTTTTTATACCTTGTTGTTCCCTATTCATCTATCAGTCAATAGTTTTTTATCGACTATTATGGGTGGCATCCGGGGAAAGAGGATCAAAGGATCCCAATGGATGTGTCACACTGCTTAGCTTACTTGGGATATTCTGGTGTATTTACTCACCGTGGGTTAATCCAAAGACAGTCTTCTTCTATGCTGTTAATATTATTATATAGCGAATATATGTCTCATATATGAAAAGCGCAATGCAATGTATACTACAGTGTATATAATATGTTATATAGGATTATTAGGTATCCCCGAAGTGGGACCTCGTAGTGGTTGTCTGAGTTTTATTTCCTTCAAGATTGTCGTTCATTAAGAGAACGCCCCATACATTCATCCAATCAGCTTCAAATTTTCAATACTAGTGTTGTGTAACTAGGGAAAGGTTCATGCAACGACTGACATGTGCAGGCGCCCTCTGGTTAATGTTACATAGACCTTTCCCTGTTTTGTTTTCGGTGCGATAACTTGAGAAAGCCTTTTCTGATCGGCTTCAAGTTTTCAAAACCGATGTATCTTAGAAGGTTGGGATTAGTACTGCGTTTTTTTTTCTCACTTGGAGAAAAAAGTCTTCTGGTTGCCTTCAAATTTCCAACACTTGTGTACCCTATTTAAAATAAAACTAGGACTTTTTATAGCTTGTAGGCCCAATTTGCTAATTCTATTTTAAAAATAACGTAGTATTTATTCATGAAATTACTTAAGTATACCTCTTTCAAACGGTTTCTGTCTTTATTGATTAATGCACATTAAGATGAGGATAATATATTTTAGGTTTATCTATGTTATATACAAATCTACCAACTGAATAACAATGAATAAGTTGGGATTACTGGTTTTTGTGTGAAAAATGGAGAAAGCATCTTCTTATAGGTTCAGGCGTTCAGCACTGGCGTCTTTGCCTTTAAGGATAGCTTTCCAGTGATTTTTGGTAGCTTTCCAATGATTTTTGGTAGCTTTCCAGTGATTTTTGGTAGCTTTCCAATGATTTTTGGTAGCTTTCCAGTGATTTTTGGTAGCTTTCCAGTGATTTTTGGTAGCTTTCCAATAATTTTTGGTAGCTTTCCAGTGATTTTTGGTAGCTTTCCTATGATTTTTTGGTAGCTCTTCAGTGATTTTTGGTAGCTTTCGTGGAGTTTTTAGTAGCTTCCCATTGATTTTTGGTAGCTTTCCTGGAGTTTGTGGTAACTTTCCGGGGATTTTTGGTAGCTTTCCAATGATTTTTGGTAGCTTTCCAGTGGTTTTTGAGAGCTTTCCATGAATTTTTGACAGCTATCCAGTGATTTTTGGTAGCTTTTCTGGAGTTTTTGGTGGCTTCCCAGTGATTTTTGGTAGCTTTCCTGGAGTTTCGGTAGCTTTCCAGTGACTTTTGGTAGCTTTCCAGTGATTTTTGGTGGCTTTAGAGTGATTTTTGGTAGCTTTCCAGAGATTTTTGGTAGCCTTCCAGATATTTTTGGAAGCTTTCCAGTGATTTTTGGCAGCTTTTCAGGGATTTTTGGTAGCCTTCCAGTGATTTGCAGCAGCAGCAGCAGCAGCAGCAGCAGCAGCAGCAGCAGCAGCAGCAGCAGCAGCAGCAGCAGCGCAGCAGCAGCAGCAGCAGCAGCAGCAGCAGCAGCAGCAGCAGCAGCAGCAGCAGCAGCAGCAGCAGCAGCAGCAGCAGCAGCAGCAGCAGCAGCAGCAGCAGCAGGCAGCAGCAGCAGCAGCAGCAGCAGCAGCACAGCAGCAGCAGCAGCAGCAGCAGCAGCAGCAGCAGCAGCAGCAGCAGCAGCAGCAGCAGCAGCAGCAGCAGCAGCAGCAGCAGCAGCAGCAGCAGCAGCAGCAGCAGCAGCAGCAGCAGCAGCAGCAGCAGCAGCAGCAGCAGCAGCAGCAGCAGCAGCAGCAGCAGCAGCAGCAGCAGCAGCAGCAGCAGCAGCAGCAGCAGCAGCAGCACAGGGGAGGTAGAAGCCGGGGCCACTGTAGGGACACCAGCTTCGCCCGGCCACCGTCAGAGGGCTCGCGCACCTCTCGTTCCGCGTCCTGTCACTACAGATGAGGTAAGCTTGGCGTATATTTATCGTTATCTCACTCCTGTACCTCCCCACACTCACCTAATTAACACCCACCTTGAAATCTAAGTTCCATACGCATCTAGTAAGCCCAAATGCGTAATTAGTGTGTGGGTTTGGGCCCAGTAATGGCGTGAAGTTTGGGTGCCATTGGGTGTGTGGTGTGGCTGACGCGGCGATGGTGGCTGCCTGCTCACTGTGGATGCTGCAGCCCTGATGGTGTCCTCCTCAGCATTAATAACGCATTTATACGCCATAACTTACATTGCCATGGAGTTTAAAGGCACTCAAGAGGCTATTCCATAGGTAAAATCCTAGTTCAGTGGTACGTGATGTTTGCCACTAGTGGTATGGTGGTGTCCATCAGGTGGTATGTAATCAACACCATCGATAAAATTCTTGTAAAATGTGATTTGGTTAATAAAAACGAGTTTGAGATAACTGCAGCAAGAATGAATTAATTGCAGTGATTAAGTTTGTGAACTACATAAAACGTTGCCATGGCCTTAGGCGTGAGGTCTGTGGAAGGCGTTGTAGGTGTGTTGAAATTCGTTGTGGTTAATGATTCCAAAAGTTGGCTAGTGATGTGTGAAAAAAAAAAGTGTTGCAAATATTTTCCGCAAAAATATCGTCTCACTCGAGAAATTCCTGCTGGACGTGTGATCCAAGATGACGTTCGTTTATAAATGTTACATTTGATAACATCCTGTTAAAAAAATTACTTTTATCAGGACGATGTTAAAAAAAATAAGGAAAGAGTGCATTTTCAAGAGTAGCCAATTCACCATTTGACATTAAAAAAATGTCAATTGCAAATTCATCGAGCTGTATTGAAGCTTCGGCTACAGAAAATTATAAAATAGAATTATCTGAAGCATTTTGGAGGTCAAGAGGAATATTGAAGGTGAAGTGGGGAGAAGGATTTATATATTTTCGGGGCAGTGGAAGTGGTAGTGGGTTCCACCGGCACCTGTCTGGAGCCGTGGGGGTTGCTAGTACTGCACCCTCACTCACCATTATTACCGTTTCCCCCACATATACATTAATCTACAACCATTCCTGCCGTCTACCACCTGCTGGTGCACTTAATTCGACATCTAGCATCTTAAATCGTACTTTGGATAGTCGTGTTGGGGTGAATTTGGAAAAGTATGTTGAGTTTAAGCCCCCCGGTGATTGTGCAATGCGTGCAGTTTATGCCCGTGTGTGGCCATACAGGTTATCCACCCTGGGCGTACATACCAATAGACAGCAAGAGGGATACACCTACATGAGTAGATATAATGACTGATATACTTACTTGGCAATGGAAACCAGAAACTCGAATTCCTACGAGTAATATAAAAAAAGAGAGTTGTGATAGTGACCATATTGACTGGGTGCAAATGCAGTGTTACTGAAAAAAAAAAATTCTAAAACCTTCTTCGGACCAGATATGACGGGGATACAGACGATTGCTTAGTTAAGTTTAATTATATCGACAGCACGAATCTTTTAATTTACATGTACCCTAAAAAATGGAGAACTTCCCAAAGTTAGGGATTCGAACGATTGTATATCACTAATGATGTAAATTTGAGTACTGGTGATTGAACAAATTGTATATGATTATACGTAGACAAATGATTAGTTATTTAGCAAAACTCTTAGGAAACTGGTGGTTAGTGATTTTTGTTAAGTTGAAGTGGTAGGTCACCAAGACAGTGTTAGGTATTGATTGATGTTCACCAAGCAGTGTGAGTTAGCAAGCAAGCTGCCCTGTTCACTACAGTGACCACTTGGTTACAGTGACCTGATAGTGACATTGTAGTACTTGTGGTTACAGGTGAACACACCCTCCAGGTATACAGTGGCTGTGGTTAGTGACCTGATAGTGACGCTTGTGGTGTGGGTACAGTGAGCTGATATTGTCATTTGAAGTGTTTGTTACAGTGGCTGTGTTTAGTGACTTAATAGTGACACTTGTGTTTGTGGTGTGGTTACAGTGACCTGATAGTGATACTTCTAGATCATGTAGCTACAGTGGCTGTGGTTAGTGACCTGTTAGTGACACTTGGGCTCGTAGGGTGGCTACAGTGACTATAGTGACACTTGTAGTGCTTATGATTACAGTGACTTGATAGTAATATGTGTAGTGCTTGTGATTACAGTGGCTGTGGTTACGATGATCTGATAGTGGCACTTGTGCTGGTTACAGTGACTTGATAGCGTCATCTTGTGCGTGTGGTTACAGTGACCCCTGATACATCGACATACATGTGCTTGTGGGGGTGGTAACGTTACCCTTGATGAAATGTTAACTTGTGGATTGATTACAGTGACTCCTGATACAGTGTCACTTGTATTTGATGGGTGTTTACAGTGACAAATGATAGTCACTTGTGCTTGTGGATTGATTACAGTGACTCCTGATTTAGTGTTACTTGTGCTTGTGGGAAGATTACAGTGGCCCCGATACAGTGCTGTTTGTGGGATGGTTACAGTGCCCGCTTGTGGGTTGGTTACAGTGCCCGCTTGTGGGTTGGTTACAGTGACCTCTTGATACAGTGTAACGTAGTGTTTGTGGGTGGTTACAGTGACCCTTGATACAGTGACATTTATAGTGCCTGTGAAATGGCTACAGCCACACCTGATAATATCGCTGGTGAGATGGTTAGAGTGACCTTTGATAATTTACTTGTGCTTGTGGGATAGTGACCTTATAGTCACTTATAGTGCTTGTGGGTGGCTACAGTGACCTCCTTGATACAGCATAACTTGTTTGTGGAGTAGTTGTAGTAACTCCTGATACTCGCTTGTAGTATCTGTGGGATAGTTTCAGTGACTTCTGTTATAGTGTCACGTTTAGTGTTTGTGAGATGCTTACAGTGGTCCCTATTATATTTGCACACTTATTGCTTATGGGGCTTACAGTGAACACTGATAGTGATACTTGTAATGAAAGGGTGATTATAGTGGCTTCTAAGTGTCAAGTATAGTGTTTGTGGGGTGGATATAATGAGACCTTATAGTAAAACTTTTGGAATAGTTACAGTGACTTGATGTTATATGCAGTGCTTGTGGGATGATTACAGTGCCTCCTGATAGTGAAACTTGTGCTTGTAGAGTGGTTACAGTGACATTGGGGATGTTGTAGTGCGTGTAGGACATATACCTATGACCAGTTTCGAGGGCTTTTTACCTACCGGCTCGGCTTTTGACCAAACTTCTTCGTTGAGTTTTTTTTTCTCTCGACAAGGCTGTTGGTGTTAGTGGCCCTCTGGCTCACTTTGCCATCACAGCCTAGTTGATCTGGCACATGGCGGAGGTGAGGTGATCCAGTTTGCCCCTGAAGACTTCGTTGGCTCCGGCAGTATTTCTAATATCTGCTTGTTACAGGTTGAATTACTCTTGGATCACTGTTATGCATATGGCTTCCCTACTTTTCACTGGATTTATTTTACACTTAAATGGAGTTACTCCAGATACAGTGTCGCTTGTAGGGTTTTCGAGATGGTTACAGTCAGTCCCAGATACAGTGTTGCGTAGTGATAGTGGTGGGATTCGTGGCGATAAAATCTGTTAGATAATGCTGTGGTGATACCGACAAACGGGGTTTGTTTGGTAAAGGAAATATGGTTAATTAATGCTTAAAGCTGTAGTGTGAGATGGCATGTAGAATGACCTACATTAAGGGGATGTGGGGAGCAGTATCGATCAGGATACCTCGGCATTTCTAATTGGATATTCTTGGTCACGATTGCATCATCAGCTGTGGAAAAAGACACTTATATACAGTTCAGGACATTTATTTAGAATCCTAATGGACTGAAGAAGCCACTAGTGGCTAATAAATGTCCTGAGCTGTACATAAGTGTCTTTTTCCACATCTTGTCGGTATCACCATACCATCTTTCACCATTTGTACATAATGGTACATAGTGCTCTCACTTGTGATTCATTGTTACTTATTCATCGAGCAGCTAAACCTTAAAATATTTATACTTAGGGAAGAAGAGAACAGTGGTTTATATACTGAATGCAGGTCATAAAATAGTTTACCCTTTAGTTAGGTTCATTGGTGCCGAAGGGCTTTTGATCCAAGGAATTGGAGCTGGCCCCCCTCCAGTAATCATCCCAGATTATCTCTCGTGCCCCATTCGCTGTATGACCCATATGGATTAAGTGCTTCCCCATGATCATAATCATAACTTAACTCGGCTGACGAATTGTACGACAGCATCCGTATCAAATCACATAGAAATAATAATAATTTTTATATCTACAAGTACATGATGCAACTTATACAGACCATAGCTAATATCAGTGACTTACTGTATAAAAAGCAAATTAGGTTAATTTTGTCCCCAGGATGCGATCCACACCAAGGACCTATTTACTGCTAGGTGAATAGGGACAGCAGGTGTCTTAAGGAAACGCCCAAATTTTTCCACCCCTACCGGGGATCGAGCCACGGACCTAAGTGTGTACTCGCCTAGTTGAGGTTGCAGGGGTCGAGTCCAAGCTCCTGGTCCCGCCTCTTCACTGGTCGCTGCTAGGTCACTCCCTGAACCGTGAGCTTTATCATACCTCTTGTGTGTGTGTGTGTGTGTGTGTGTGTGTGTGTGTGTGTGTGTGTGTGTGTGTGTGTGTGTGTGTGTGTGTGTGTGTGTGTGTGTGTGAGCCGAGTGCGCTACCAACCAAGCTACGGGACACCTAATGCTATATGGAATCAAGCTGCATTATTTTGACCTTGTTGGTTTATCCTGGGTTAATGAACCTGCGAGGTCAAGTAACCCTAAGAATGTCTTCATGGAATGATTTTAATGAGAGTCTAAACGGTAATGACATGACCTTGGTGTTAAATGAGCGTAGCGAGAGAAGGATGAATGGGGGAGACGTTTTAGGAAAGTGAACTCTATGGCAGGTGCAGTAGAGGAGATGGTAAAATAGTAGGTTACCTGGTAGCCATTTTGCTTTGAGTTCATCAGTGTAATATTGGGTTTCAATCAGGATCGAGTTTATCATACATATTTTTATTATCGCATTTTACCGTAGTATTATTTGTATTATAAGTGGTTTTTATTATAGTATTTATTTTCACAGATCTTGTAACGTGCTCTTCATCGCGGGAACATCGCAGTATTATTGTTATCCTATAGTTATCGTAGTGTTAGGGATGGGATGATACTATTTTTTTCGGCGATAACGATACTCAATTGTAGGCTGATATCGATTTCATAAAAAATTGCCGATACCCACCGGTACCGATACCGGTAATTTGGCATACTCCTGCGTAGTGGTATTTATCATAAATTTAGGTGTTA